TACACATGCTCACTCAACAGCATCTACTGCCCCCTCAGACTAGTACAGTGAGGTCATTATTATTCATGCATGCGCATTCCAGCCCGCTCTCCTTGGCTGACAGGTTACACCTATTCTCGTTATATTATCAATGGCTGGACTTTTCCTGGACAGACAAGGAAACAAATGAAATGGTCTTGGGACAGAACAACAGTGTGTGTGGGGTGGAAAGGGCTGGATCAAATCAGGAGCATAGGTCCACCGAAAGACAGCAGCTGACTCAGCGCAACCGGTTTACTGCCTCAAAGGAATGAGAATCTAATATTGTCAAAAGCTTTTTTCCCAACAAAACACCCCCCAATAATGTGTGTGTGCGTGTGTACAATGTCCTGCATTGGGTAAAAAACCTATTTAACCCGTGGGGCACCACTTTACTCTCTGGTCTAAAAAAAAAGTCTGAATAAAAGCGCGGCCAAGCAAGGCTAAGAACATGGCTAACATCAGGCAGCGAACACATGGACCCGCACGTGGTGCTGTCATTACGCCGAAGGGGTTCAAGGTTAAGGCCGGTTCTGCAAGTGATAAATAGTACCAGGCACCAAAGGAAGCTGCACTCAGACATGAAGTGTAACAGAGAGAGCCCATCTGGAGTAGAAAGAAAAGGTTCCCTTTCACTCTAGGAATTGAAAGCAGGACAGGCTGACTGAATGGAAGGCCATCCGAAAGGAAATTTCATGATTAAAAGTTGGAAACAACAGACATTTCAGTGAAAAGTGCCAATCTCAGACTAACGGCAATGTAGAAGTTTGATTATGAAAATAACATTCTTTTATTTTATTCAAAATCTGACCAGTAGAGACACTTTTACAAAGTCTTTTAATCTGAAAATATTTAGGAATGGATAATAGTAACCGTTGTCTTACATAGTATTAGTTATACAAGGCAGATAATGGAAAGGGAATATTTTGCCTTGAAAATAACCACAACTGAAGGTAACAAGGAAATACATGTTCTGGTCCGATTCTGCTCTGTGTCCCTTTACTGAGTTTGCCAAAGACACCTGGAGCCAGTTGAGACAGAAGACGGACATCTGGCCACTTAAAACTGTCTGGACCTATGCCATGTACATGCGAAAGAGCAAACAGCAGGCTGATAAATTAATAATCACTACGCCAGTGTGGTCTGCATCTGAAACTGCCCTGACGATCTAACATTTCTACTTCCTTTCATAGGCAAGAGCTTCTGCTGTCCTTCAACTGGATTCAAACATCTTCTAGATAGTTAAGTAGCATTATTCAGTCTTTCAGTTGAGAATCATCTAGCAATTACTATATGAGAAGTGCTGTTCAAAGCACAATTGTGAATGTAAAAAATTAATCACTCATGAATAATGTCATGAAGAAGCATATGCCTAGCGGAAGAGAAAACAGAAGACATATGCATAAATAACGACAAAAAAGGCTAAAATCTATCGAGATACGTGTGAGGAGCTATAAATGTTCAAGAAGGAGATCAGTAGGAGATTCCACTACTTAAGGGTTCCCATTCAACACCAAAAACAAACGTCAGAGTCCAGACTTCAGTTTCCAACCCTAACGAGCCACTGTGGCCTTTCTCCATGTGGACATTTCTCCTAACTCTCAAAGTTTAGAACCATGTGTCCTAACTCTTCTTCTCAATTTTATCCCATTTACACTTAATTTGTGGAAACCCTGAAGCTGTTTACTGAACTCCTATCAACATCACACAGAACACAGTCTCTTTAGTCAACATGGGAAAATTGACATCATGCATAGAAAACTCACACCTGGTCTTGCAGATTGTAAACAAAGAGAAGTCAGGGACGATAGGCACCAGAAACAAAGGTTTTTATCGCTCACATCAATCCGCATCTCCTTTGGGTTCAAGGACCATGACAGTGGGGACAGTGGGTCAGAAAGGAGTTTCTGGCTGGATGAGATACCCATCTTCAGTCGTGCTTCTTAATGGGGCACAGGACCCCAAACCACCACCCCACCCCTGGTTCCCTAACTCAGGTGCCTTGATCCCTACCATTATAATCACCTACTTTGATCTCCATCTCCCCCAAAATATTAACTCCTGGACAACAATGATCTTTTTTTAGACTTATTTCATTATTGTTCAAGTACAGTTTTCTGTCTTATACCCCCAACCCTGCCCACACCCCCAGTGCTCCCCACCTCCCTCCCATTTCCCCCACCCCCCCCAGCCTTAGTTTTTGTCCATGTGTCCTTTATACTCGTTCCTGTGAATCCTTCCCCTTTTCCGCTGTGATTCTCTCCCCTCTCCCCTCTGGTCCCTGTTCTGTATTTCAGTGTCTTTGGTCATATTTTGCTTGGTTGGAAAACAATGATCTTCTGCCCACTGTCTACCTGTTGAGCTCTACCAACCCTGGCTAAATAAAATATATTCCTATTAAAACTCTCAAAAGGACCTATTTAACAAATCAGTCACAGTCACTAGTAGAACCTACAATGAAACCTTGACTGTCCAAAAAAGAGGCCTATATCGTCAAATGCCATTGACTATGCAAAAATGTTTCTTTTTCACTTTGAATTCTGTTCTCACGTGTACATTTGGCTGTGGGTATACCATAGCTTCACAGTCGTAGAGGAAGTAGGTATCTAATTATCAGAAACAGCTGTTCCAATACCAAGATTACCTCATTTATTTAATGATAAAAAATAATAAGTGACCCAGACTTCAGCAGGAGGTCAAGGTAGAGCACCCACTGGCCCACGTAGAAGCAGTGGGTTTTCTCTACCAAAGTGCAGACTGGGGCAAATGTCAGTTAGCTCCTTCATTCGTCGGGTAACTGGTAACTGGTGACTGGTGACTGTTACACACGGCTCCAGTTGCTGCTTATCTCTCTCATTAGTTAATAACTGAAATTCACACAGGAACAAAAAAGAGGGGACTGAGTAAGGAATCTTACTATAGAGAAAGATCTGCTCAGGATCAGAACATATCAAAAATACAGTTATCAGACGTGATTTCAAATATTTAAAAGTAGTAGAATTTTAATGTGAATGCCAATAAAATAACGTGCATAGTTAGTTATATATTTTTTTTGAAACTGATTTTCTAAGGTGTCAATAAATCCAAATAGCTTATGAAATGATTTGTAAGAAATGGAAGTTCAGCTCTTCAACTAGTAACACTATCTTTAGAAAAAGCATAAAGTTGACAAAAATGAGTTGTTTGTGTACAGAGACTTGACGCCTCTTTGAAAGTAAAGTTTTGGGCCGAGGGCGACAGCACATTCCATACAGTGACTGCATGCTCAACACTGTCCACCACACCTGGCCTCTCAGACCTGCCCTGCAGGCGTCACCTAGCAGATTTCCTCACTGGGTTAAGAATGATGTAATCCTTTTCACCCAGATTTTGTTGCTAACAGCAAAAGATAACAGATTTGCCCTGCGTTTTATTGGCTAGCACTTACACCTTTTGAAGGGCTGCAGGATTATCACATCTCTCAAAGATACACTACCTTTTGCTGACTTTAATAAACCTCTCATCTGTTTGAATTCTATACCCCTAGTCACAGTGATCATTCCAGACTGCCACTCCTCGTGAACACGGGTAATCTGAAAACCACTCAGGCCACAGCTCTGACACACCCCGGGTCCCCACAAACTTCAAAACCCCTCCTCTCCTGCTTAAGTCCTCCAAAGAATGTCTGTGATTACAAACCTGTACACATACACGTGTCTTTCAAACGTCAGCTCTGCCCTTTACTAGCCTGTAATCTTGGACAAGTTACTTCGGCTCTTGTGCTTCGATTTCCTCATCTATAAAATGGGACCAACAATACCTTCCTCACAGGACTATTATGAAGATCTGATGATTAATATTAGCATAGCTCTTAGAACAGTGGTTCACACATACTGTGTGTTACTGTTACTGGTGGTTTCAACATCACACCAAAACTCATAGATTTCATACCAGTAGATCTGAGGACATCAAAAGAACAAAATCACTTTCCCAGCAATTCACATCCTGCTCAGAGGACCCCTAGTGACCCTCACACAGACACACACCCACACTCGCCTTCACTGCGGACGCCCCTGCGTCTTTGGGGAACCACGAGAAGAACTACTTAGAACTACTTACCGTGTGGGGGACGAGAGTGCATGACTAAGTGACTAAAGCAGCAGTGAGGCAACAGCAATTACAAAACAATTTGCCTCCTTCTTTTACAATGAGCAGAGGGGTAACATACAAAAAATTATTTTCAAGGACTCATTTTTTTAAAACACACTTTGATTCTGGAATCACTCTGAAAAAAACTCATGTCACTTCTTAGACCACTCCTTTAGCTATGGAAAAATGAGTAACTGAGATTAGGGGAAAAAAAATTTTGTATCACTTGGTGAAAGTATTAAAATGACACCTAATTTTCACTATTTTGTAAATACCACACATATCAAAATATCACTGAAATTTCCATTTACTTGAAAGGTGAATAAATAGCAGAGCACATTAGTAAACTTTTTTCAGATTCTCAATGGCCAGTGGTCTCTTTCAAAGAGAACTTTCTCATTTAAAGGAGTAACTCTACAAACACAGATAATAGATTTTATGATCAGAGTTCCTCTAAATTCGGGACCAGTAAATTTGCCCTTCCTAAAGATGCAGCCTACGCTCCGGGCAGCTAAATGTTCTTCTCTACCGTAAGAACAGGTATCCCTTACCAATCACAGGTAATATCAGAAGAGTAAATAAATAGTGGGCATAAACTTGAAAAATAACTTGTTTCTCAACAGTGCTTTAAATGCTATTATAAAAGTCACTTTTAATCCATACCCTTTGCAAACAAAGCTTCAATTTTGTTTCCTTCAATATTCAAAGAGACTGGTTTACTCACAGCCACAGATTATCCCCCAAATATACATCAGTAGTGCAAGTACCCCACGAAATTTTTAAAAACTACAAAAATCTAAAAACCATTTTAACTTCTGCACAGAAACCGCACACCATGACATTCTTACTGTTACCTTTTAAAAGCTTCAGCAGGGTTCCTCTCGCACTCCCCAGGCTGCAAGAGGCTTTGGATGGCAGGGTCCCTCAGCTTGTCCTCGTATCCTTGGAGCAGTCCACTGTGGCAGATCTGGGCGACCAGGCCTCTGATGAACCCTCCAACACACAGTGTGTCTGAGTCCTGGGCTTTGCAGAAATGAAAGGCCAGAGCCTGGCGATGCAAGCCTCTCTGCAAGCCTGTAGGTGAACTTGGCCACAAGAGCTCAGTACACAGGGCGGTCTTGCCACTGCCAGGCCCTCCCACCAACAGCACACCCCAGGCGGCTCCTTTTCCAGGGACAACACTAGCGTTACTCCCAGAATTCACTGAGAGGGGCGGTGTGTTGACAGCACTGTTGCAGCTATTCGTCTTCTCCTGGAGGCAGTGCTGAAGCTTGTGGAAAACCCACTCCCTACAGTAAAACTGCTTCCCCTGCAGTAAACTCGTCTGAGCCATTTTGCAGACTTTCTCTTCCCAAGGATTAGTCATAATAGGCTTCGTATCTTCAACCTTTGCTAGCATTGAGACACATCAACACAGGTCTTTACGTCCGTTGGGACGTAACCTGCATATGAAGTTCACTTTGAAGGACAGAGTAACCAGTGACAGTAAAATTCAACAGCCACAGGGTCCATTTGTCGATAGGATGCGCATGACTTTATCTGGTTCTCTATTCTTGATTATCAGCAGAGAATGTATCAGTTTAATTGTTGAACTGGTGAAAAACCAGCTGGTTCCCAAGCTCAGCAGCAGTTTTTCTCTATCTTGATGGGTCACACGGCTCCATGGCTAACAACCAGAGTTTATGTGATTGTGGGTCTTTCAAGTCCGCAGATGAGACGATACATCTGGAAAACTAACAAGAAAGCCCAATCTTTCACTTTGTACAAAATGCTTCTCCAGATTCCAAGTGTTAATTCTGTGTCTGCAAATCAGATCAGAGAAAGTGTCCATTATAGTCAATGTCACCAGAGAGCCCCTGTGTACAGTAGGTAGGTAGCTCTGTACTTCTTGGGGAAGGACAGCCACGCACACCACCAGACCCGCCACTTTGGGGCATATGGGCCATTGCCAGGGAGGCAACTGTGTGACAAAAATGACAGACCAGTGTTAGCACCTCTTCATGCAAAGCAGTCATAAAATGTACTTTTCAAGGCAGATTCTTAATGAACCTTTTCACAGTTTCCTCTTCGTAAGACATCAACAATTTCCACCAGTAACTGAAATAAAATATCTTAGTGCAAAAATCTAGGTTAAAAGTTTACTTATCAAAGGATACAACTTACCAGTTAACCTCAAAAATCATTTTTTGCACTTTCAAAAATTTGAACAATTACCCTGAAATCCTGATCACGTTTTCCTTTCTATATTTTTCTTCTGCCATGGTTATAATTCCCATACATCTACATTTTCACCAAGTTACCCTAGATATTCCAAACCTCACTGTTGAAGAGGGAAAAAAGACGATGCGCACACACAGTAACATCCTTAAGCCTAGCCAAAGAGATCTCTCCACTAGCTTGGTAGAAGGGCGCCAGCTAAGGAAGCTCTATCCACCCGCCCAGTCCAGCCAGTCAAGGACTGTTTACTTGACTAGCCACACTTCTTTGTTGATAGTTTGCAACATCTAGGAGATGACTGCCATGGCGGAGGCTGGATGGCAACGGGTTAAAAAAAAGAGGGGAGGAGGGGGATGATCTCACACGAATGATAAATCCAAACACAGAATAACGTGAATCCTTCCTTGCTCTGCACTAGAGGTGAAGGTTTCGGATGAGGGTGAGGAGTGGAACCTCCTCCAGCACTCGGAGGAACGGCTGCCGGGGAGAATTCCCTCCGAGGCAGGAGGGGCCAGGAGCCAACAGCCCCGGCGCTGGGGGTGTCTGCCTCCAGTTCCGGCCGCTGGGTTCAGCTGACAGACAAAAGGAATTCCGGGATCCCCGGCGACAGAACCACCTTCGTTTAAGCGGCCGCGAAGAGCCACAGGGGGCCACCGTGGATGGGCTGAGGACGGAGGTGCAGCCACCTTCCGAGGTCTTCCTAAGCAGACGCTGGGACAGCCCGCCCCGCCCCGCCACCGGGGTGTGTCTTTCGAAGGGGGAGGGGTGCCCGACGTCCTTGCCAATCCGTGCTGAGGGGTCGCCTCCGGATCCGGGTCCGGTTCTGCGCCCGCACCCTGCGCACCGATCCCGCCCCCTCCCGGCCGCGGCGGAGCGAGGGGATTGGCGGCGACTAGGGTCCTAGCCTGGAAAGTGCCCGGGTGGGTCAGGTCCGCGCCTCCGCGATAGTCCCGAGCTCCCACCGCCGCCGCCCCTCGGTTACCTCGGCCGCAGCAGCCGCGGCCGCCGCGCTCTGCCCCCGACACTTGCTGGGCTGAGACGCCTCGGTCGCCAGCGCTCCCGGGTTCCAGCAGCAGCTGCGTGCTCCGCCCGGCCCGTGGTGCGCTCCCAGCTCGCGATCCGCCGGTTGACCCCGAGACGTGCCCGTTCCAACTGCGCCGGCAGCCAGGGTCGCGCTTCCCCCAGCCCCCACCGACCAACCGCCACCGCCGCCGCCGCCGCCAGGGCAATGACTGTCTCAAGCAGCCCAGGACCGGTCGGCTCCGCCCCGCCCGCGGCTCAGGCCCCGCCCCCTCCCGACGCTCAGCCTTTCTTCGCCGCCAGCCCCGCCCCCGCCCCGCCCCCAACGTGCCGGCCCGTAGCCGCCCCAGCCGCCCGTGCCGGGGCGTGTGCTGCTGCCTGGGACCCGCTGTTCGCGCCGCGGGGAGACCTTTCTCGGAGCGGCCTTGGGGCTCCGCCTTCTCGGGGCGGTCGTTGGAGAAGGGGGCGGGGGCTGCGTTCTCACGTCCCCGTGCTCACGCGAGTCGCTGCTCCCACCCACCCCGTCACCGCTCGGCCCTGAGCTTTCCTTTGTCTTCCAGGCCCGAGGGACTCGCTGGCTTTGGGGGCCATATCCGCTCGTAGGAGGAGCAGCTGGGCTGGGAGAGTTGGCCCCTTCCTCTCCCTTGGCCCCCTAGCCCCAAAGGGCCACTTCAGACCCATCCTTGTTCTTAGTCGTGCGGGTTCCCTTTCAATCCATTAAATTCCTGTGATTTTTTTTCCCCTTTCTCATGGTGAGACTAACAGCAGGAAGGAAAAGACTGGGCAGAATGTTGCAAAAATAAAAAGAGGTATGGGGCGGCATTCCTACCGCCAATGGGAAGGACTTGGCCTCCCCGATAGTTTGTAAGCAGTCGTTGCGTCTCAGGCTTCTGCCCTTAGGAACGGTTTGATGATTTCCAGGGGCAACTACAGGGGAGAAAGTCTACGGTGGTGGTCAGAATGTAGTCAGATCTGCTGCCCTGGAGGGTCTGGCCACAGGCAGGAACTGTTGAATTAGGCAGGCCAGTTGTTTGCACTCGAGTAGACCTGGATCATTCAGACTTAAGATTTCTGCTGGGAAAGTAAAGTACTTCCTGTCAACTGAGAGAGTAGAATATGCACCATCTTTATAATTTGATTATCTATGCTAAAACCATGAGTTGTCCATCTCCCATTGATTTGAATGTCTTTATTTCCCAAATACTAAGCCAATTTCCATCTGGTTTCAGGGATTTCAAATTATAGGTATCACACTCAACTAGAAAAACAGATAATGGAGGGTGCTGCGCTGACTTTTCCCTTCTCTTTATTCCCATCCTGCCCGTGGCATTTGAGGCTGGTTGATCTTAGTATTTAACTTTAATTCATTTACTGTGAATTCTGAGGTCCTTTTCCAAAGCAAGGGGAAAAAAAAGACGGAAGAGTATAAATTATCTAGAATTAGAGCAAGGAAAATTGATTTTTAAAAATCTAAAAACTTATAAAATCTACAAAATTGCTTAAGCAATTTTAATTACCAAGTAGATTGTTTATAAACCTAGCTTGCCCGCAGCTTTATGGTCACTGACTCCCTCAGGTTCTTGGTTGTAAAATTATGTTTAGAGAAAAATATTAAATACAAAATATATCCATTATATTATTATTTCCATTAAACAATTTGCTAATATGATAATCAAAATAATTTCTGCCCAGTAGAGAGAGTTTACAGAAACTTTTGGTTTAGTGGCTCTATTTTTTTTATGGCAACTAACGATTGTGGAATGCTGTTAATGGCAGTGATAGCTAAGCTGTAATTGATCTTCAGACTCATTTAGATCTTTTCTTTTTGTTTTGCTTTAAAGTTTATTTCGCATTTTATTTCTCTGGCTGTGGCTTTCCCTAGTTCCTTACCTGTAAGGCGGAATCACAGTTGGGACATTAGGAGGTTAGGTTTGGGGCAGAGTCACCTCACACAGCTGAGAGGCCTCGCACTGCCCACCTGCAGGCAACTGTTCGGATGGACGGGTGCGCTTCCAGGCCAGAGCGTATCAGGGTAGTGGTGCAGCTCCCCGGGGTGTTTGAGCACATGTAACAAAGCTCACGTCCAATGTTTGATACATTAGGGCTTGTCTCTCCTAGGCAACAAAATGCCCAGGTGGCGCGTGCCCTGAGGCATCCCCTGCTGCCTTTCAGACATGGGTAGACCACAGCGAACGCAAGCCTTGTTTGGGTCTAGGCCTATATGGATGAAAGTGTATACTTTGACTTTTTCAAATATAACAAAAATTTATAGATAATTTTTATACAATAAAAATTAATTCAGAAGTCACAAAAATGTTGTAAAATAATACACGTTTTTTGAAAATCAATATGACCACCTTTTGACTTAGTAGTAGAAGAAAAATATCATTAAAATGTTGACAATAGTCTTTTGTAGTACAGCTTGGTGGCTTAACACAACCCTGGTTTCTTATTTCTCCCAATTGTGTGGATCGACTGGGTGGTTCTGGGTGGTCTCCCTGCAGCTCGTGCACTCGAGTTCAGCTGGCTTCACTCCTCTGTCGGGGTCACCAGCTGGGCTGGTGGCAGAGACTGAGCTGTATGTGCCTTCTCCTGAGGCTTCTTTCCAGCAAGTGGGCTCGGAGTTCCGTGAGAACCTAGTAGCCTCTCGAGGCCTTACTCTGGAACTAGCCCTGTATCACTTCTGCCAGCTGTGTAGGTCAAAGCAGTTCATCAGGACCAGCTAGACAAGGGGCGAAATATACTCCCCCATCCGAGGGAATGAGGGGCAAGGTGTTATGGTCCTGTCCTTTAAGTACCACAAATGGAAATCTTTGAGAATTGGACACATTACTTAAGCTCTCCACCAGAAAGAAAAAGAAAAGCAAGCTCATACAAAGTCTGTGTTAGTATAGAGGACTAATGCCCTCCTCTGTCACAGGACTGCAGATTAAGGGACCCTGATTCACACAGCTTCCCTGAAATTCAATGAGCCACTTAACATGAATAAATAGAAATACAGTCCACATAGATATAAATATATATAATATATCCATCTACACTGACGCCTTTCTCAGCATTAGGTGCTGTGTTTAAAACATTTACATTTTTATTCAACATAACAGGATTTTAAAGAGTTAAGGCTCAGAAAATTTGAGTATCATAGTTAAACAGAGATTGATGATTTATTTGACTTTGAATGAAATATTAGTTTATAAATTAATTCATAAGGACAATATTCTCTTTTCTAGTTTTATAAAAAAGTTCTGGTTTTAATCAACATGTCACTCTATCTTTGGTTAAATTCTTTTAATTTAAGGAGTTTAAAATTTTTTTGTCTTTTTTAGTCATTGGTGGAAAAGGAACTTTTTCTTCAAAGAGGAAAGTGAAGAAGAGTTTTTGCTTAGCTTGGTTAATTATTAATAAACTATCTAGTAAATTAGCTAGTGTTTATTGAAATGTACATTGACACGAACATTTTTCAAAAGTATTTTTACACTTAATAACTGACAGCTGTAATACTCCTAAAAATATTAATAAGAAAATATATTTCTTATTTAATATATCTTTGTGATGTGAACAAATATTATAATACATAGTAGTTTAATTTGGCTAAATTCCAATGAAAATGAATGAAGACTATTTTATTACTTGTATTTGTGTATATACATTTACTATTTGCTTCCCGAAGAATTCCAAAATGTCACCTGAGTTAGTGCCTGGCACTTCGGTCTACAATCTGTCACTGATAAGATAAAAGCAAGACTTTCAGATTTGCACGCAGGCTGTGCAAAGGCAAGCCTCACAGGGTCCCTGAAACCGGAGAAAGCAAGGCCCTGCCATTTGATAGTAAGAGCCAGAGGCTGGAGAGGAGCATATCTTAACGGAGGTGTGCTCTCAGATCAAGGCGACATGATGCTTGAAAAGTTCACCGTAGGGAGGTTCTAGCAGAGTCAAAGTCCACAAATTACACACCAAAGTGACATGAAAAATCCCAGTTTGGTGCATTTAAAATTTTTTATTTTTGTTTTTTTAAGAGAGATGGGAAGGGAGGGAGAACGAGAGGGAAAGAAACTCCAATGTGTGAGAGAAACACTGATTGGCTGCCTTCTGTCTTTGCCCTGACTGGGGACGGAACCTGCAACCCTGGCATGTGCCCTGACCTGGAATCGAAGCAGTGACCTTTCTGTCTGCAGGATGGACAATGCCCAACCAACTGAGCCACATTGGCTGGGGCCCAGTTTGAAGGATTTGATGCCCATTGCTGACTTTGAATATGGAGTGGGCTGTAAGCACAGGATGGAGAGAGGCAAGGAAGAGGTCAGTTTAACCCTAGGCCAACTGCCAACAACAATTGGGGAGCTTCGTCCTATCACTGCAGAGACCTAAACTCTGCCAGTAACAAGACTGAGCCTGGAACAGGACCTTGAGTGCCACGTGAAAACACTTGTCGGTAGCTTTGGGCAGTGGCAATGTCATAGCTAGTGAAGTTTATCCGAGACGTGATTATTGCTCATTGAAAACACTGTCAGTAAACACATTGGTTTCAGCCGTGAATGCATCGAATCCACTTGAGCCTGCCTGGACTCCTGGTGTGCAGAAACTGTGAAATAATGACTGGGTATTGTTTTAAACTCCCGTGTTTGTGATCATTATTTTATAGCAGTAGAAAACTAATGCCGATTTTGATACTGAGGGAGTTAATGTAGAAGATACCCCTAAATGTGGAAGGCGTCTGGAATCACGTAGTGACCGGAGGCTCTTATAATTTTTAGGAGCTTGATAGAAACAGTTGCTTATGCTTTGCAAAGACTGTTGGGACAAAGGACACTCCCAGTGCTGCTGGCGAGGGCCCGGCAGGAAGCGAGGAAGACGTCCCTGGAAAACAGAGGAAGAGAGAGTCTTGCTCGGTCTCCGTGGGAAGTTGA